ATATGATTCAGCTGTGATTTCCTCTGATCGTTTTTCTATAGGTCTAATTCCATTTGCTTCCTATGTTTTAAGAATTCCTCAACATTTCTGGTCTGTTCACAGTGGTGCAATGTTAAACATTGGGCTATATATAGAAAAGAACTTCTGGATGAAGGTTCTTAAATCCTTACAAGATTTTCTCTGGGAATATTGATACAGGTCTTCCTGAAAGAAGGGAACAAGTTGGTACCTTGACCATCTTTTCCAGTTCTTGATTCAATTGATTTCCTCTCACGGTGTATATAAAATACCCCCCAAATCATTTAATCTCTACCTTAATCAGGTGCAATATCTCTATGGAATTTTATTTTAAATCAGCAAAGATGAGAATAGATTCTGGTAATATGCCATTGACCACACATACTAACTCCCCTGTTTAGCCCCACATCTCCTTCGCAGCTGCTCTTCTGACCTGCATCACTCAAGTGCTACAGCCATAGAGAGTTCTTTTCCTGAAAGGAGACTTCATTTTAGAAACAACAGCATAATATTTGTGTTGACTTTCAAAATCCTTTTATTCCATTTACTTAGGAAACATCCATTTAACACTTACTATGTTAAGTGAGGTGTGCAAGCTGCAGTATCAAACAACCCCAAAATTTCAGTGCCTTAGAACAATATGAATTTGTTTGGTGCTCCAAGTCATCAAGAAAACACTACCTACAAAAGTTCAGTGACCCAGATTCCTTTTGTCCTGGGGTTTGCCCTCCACGGGTCCTCTGTTCAGCCAATGGAAGGAGAAAAAGAATGAGAATTGTATGGGAGTTTAATATTATAGTCCAGGTATGGAAACATGATACACATTATTTATGATCAAATTCCATTGGCATGAACTTAGATAAATGGCTACAGTTAACTTCAAGAAAAACTGGAAAATGTACTCTGACTAGAGACTTGAGAACAAGAGAATTCTAATAATTTCTGTCATACCTACTATGTGCCCTGCTCTCAAGGAGATAGATAGTTCCTCTAATCAATCAATTAAGTATTGTACATTCTGTAAGGAAGGTATTAAAGTGCCTACGAAAAAAGGAGAGAACAATCAGATCCACTTGGGGATAAAGGGTAGCGTTTGATCACAGATAGTTTCACAAGAAGAGGGTGACATCTGGACTAAAACTTTCTAGTAAGAATTTCTCAGTGAGAAAGTGAGGAGGGTTCCCCCGGCAAAAACAAAGAACATGACAAACAAAAGGCAGTGTGGCCCAGCAAGGCCACACTTCCTTGAAATGGTAAAGGAGGGGTGGTTTCTGAATGATGAGGCTAGAAAGTTACTTTGAGATCAGACTGTGAAGAGCTTTAGATGGCATGCTGAGGAGACTGGATTTGAATACATATTGCAGCAAGGTACCTCAGAGGTAGTTTTAGCAGGGAGCAACATGCTCATATTTACATTTTAAAATGGTACATTCATTCATTTAATAATTATCAAGCATCTCTACATTCTAGATACTGTGCTTGCTACTGGGGATACAAAACAAGGAACACATTCCTCGCTCTGGTAGTAACTTAGAGGGCTCATTGGAGGAAACAGGATTAAAAGTGCAGAGATCAAATAGAAGCTCCTTTCTTATTCAAAGTGGAAAAAGATGAAGCCTTAAATGTGAATATTGGCAATGAAAGTGGAAAGGGCTAGATGGATTCTACACATAATCTGTGGTGTACAATCTAATATAATCTTTTATATTGTAATAGTCAATCACATGTACAGCATGAGGAGATTTGGAGGAAAGCATCACAAAGATTTCCAACCTGAGAGAAAATGGGAAGTACCAAGGGAAGTGGTTCAAGTTCGACAGAAAGATCATGAGCTCAATCATGGACACAATTTTGAAATATCTGTGTGTAGGTGTCCAGGAAGTAAATGGAAAAAGAGTTCTGATGATCAAGAGAGGGGACAGAACTGGAGCTATGATAGACATATGGGTTACAGTTTAGATCTTCACTAGACTGCCTAAGCACAAAACTCCAAGAAGTAAAAGGAGGGCAAAAAAGGATTGACAAAGAATTGTTAGAAGTAGAAGAACATTTTGATAAAGATGTAGTTGGTTAACTATTTTTTAAAAAAGAAGAAACTCATAGGATAAAACTGAGATAACCATTTGTTTTGGCTGTGATAGAGTTTTTAGGGATCATTGCAAATGGTGTGGGGGCAAATTCAAATGGAAACAAGAAGAGGCAGTAACTTTATTAAAAGAGTAAATGTTGTACAGGATTTATGAGACGTGACTGTGTTTGTAGGCTGAAGATAGAGAAGAGTGAATTTGAACCTTAAGAAGCAGGAAGAACCCTAAAGGATAGGAAAGGAATAGGTTCTAAAAAAGCACAAGTGGGTGGATGTATATTATGAAACAAGGAGAAAAAGAAGTAAGGATTGGTGAACATAAAAGCTTGGAGGTGAATGGAAGTGAGGAGCAGCATTGAGGACCCATGTTAATTTCTAAATAATTGGTTTTTAGTAGAGTCAATAACATTTATACCATTTTGTAGGGAGCCTCTGCAGCAAAAAGAAAAAAAAACAGGTCAGATGTTCATAATAGCTTGGCAGAATGACAGTGGAATCAGGGAAATGAGGATGTTTATAAAGTGTGAAATTGAAGCGGTTGTCTTGAGGTTCATGTTAGGTAGGGAAGAAAGCAAAGCCTGGAGGGGACTGTTAGCCTTGAGGAGCTCTGTAGAGCCAAGGGACTGGAAGTTGTGTGCAAGCCCAGTGGAAGATGGAAATACCTTTGGTAAATGCTGTGCTTTGTAGTAGATCCTGCTGTAAAGACCAAAGAAAATGATCATGAATCCTAAGAATAGGTCTTACCACTTACCAAATGTGTTCTTGGGTATCAGATTTTGTGGTACATCTAATGAGATTCAGTATTCCCATCTGTAAAATGGGATTGCCAGCTTTTAAATAATATAAAAAGTTTAGAATAAACTCATGTATGAATAACCATATGTGCTTCCTTATTCACATGTAAGTAGTAATATCATACAACCATCAGAAAGAAAAAAAGAATGTTTCTTCCATATTCCTGCAATAATCAATGAGTTTATCCTAATGATTCAATGTGAATAAATGAATTTCTTAAAGTGAATTCATTCAGATTACTTGTAGAGAACATATTTATTATTGATAAAATTTTCAAAAGTGTACTTCTTAATTATCTATGCTATTTGACATAATTCAACATTTTTATATTTATACACATATGTGGGAATCTTGATTGACAGCTTGAAGCTTCATTACATAAAATATTTAACCACAGCACAAGAGCCATTTGCAGTTCTGAAAAAAACATATAAAACAATATTTCAATGAATTGTCCATGTATAGCAACAAATCAGTAAGAAAGGACAAACCGGCATAGTGAATAGATAAATCAGATTTAGGCAGGGTAGTTTATTGAATTTAAATTGTGCCCAGTTGGCCCAAGAGCTATATATAAGCAATCCATCTTATGCTGTTAATGGAGGTTCTTGAAATCCACCTGATGTTTGCATTATTAAATTTCAGTCTAATGAGCTCTGCTAATACATATTGAAGATGGTTGTAAGGGGTAGACTGTGAATATGAGCGGGATAATTTGAAAGAAACATAAGCTGAGCATTTTACATGACTCAAGGGGTATATCTACAATTACACATATAACCAAAATTGAATTTAAATGGAATTTCTATTATACTTGTCCTTCTACCAGGGAGAATAAAGTGTAAATGAAGTAAAAGTCTTTAGAGTTACTGATGGTTTGTTTTTATTATCTAAGTTAATAGATTCTTGCAATGATACAGAGTGGCATAAAAGTTTTAATACTTCATGACTTTAAATGCACTCTAAGTATGTATTAACACTGGTAAATGGAAACAGATGTATGTGTAATTGGATATAGCACTTCACAATACCATTATATAAGTTTTATATTTTAAGAAAGTGTCAATATTGATGGTAAAGTAAAATCAGACTTTGAAGAAAAATAGTTAATATATGTAATGTATATTTTCTTTAAATTCCCTTTTAAGCTCAGTTTTATACTTCTAAAGGATATATTGATTTTGCATAGAAAATATATATACAGCAGAAAAACTGAAGAGTATGTTTATTTTTACACAGTTTACATTACTGTTATCATTATAATAAAGGCTCATCCAAAGTTTAATGCTGGCACAGTTTGATTCTTTTTCTTTTGACGAGGCAATACTTTTTAACTTAATATTTCATCAACTATAATGCTATTAGAGACTTATTTTCACTTAGTTCACTCATCAGGCAGTGAGCTGGCAATAAAGGAGAATCGCTCCTTTGAGACATTAATGCTTTGGAATAAATGATGTGCTAGAACAGAAATTTAATTAATTTGCAGAGTATATTGATAGTCCCTTGTTACTGTGCTGTATATTTTTAATCTTCTTTAACATCTGTAGTAAAGTGTTTGAAAACCCCTGCAGTTGAGCAACTAGTAGATAATTAAGTAATAAGGGAAGAGGTTTCTAGAGGGAGAAAGATTCTTTTTACCAATGCTGTCATAACATGAATTAAGAACTACTACTATGATATGTAATGAAAAAAAATAATATGCTACCTAATTTGTTACTGTTCCAAAGATACTGCCAGCATCCTGTATCTAAAATGTGAACTGCAGCTTAAGAGCTTTCTTCTAAAGCTTAAAACAGATTCATTGCACTGACAAATTGAATAACTTTTAATGACCAACAGTTTTTCCCAGTTATGCCATCATTTGAACTTATGTTGCTTAAATTCATTTTCTACTTTGAAATGAGATTACCTTGAACCAAGCTTCAAAGATTCTAAATATTATGAATAAAGATTGCAAAAGTATATTTTAAATTTTCTACCATTTTGTTTTTCTTCTAATTCACAAAAAATATGTACTGAATTTAATTTTTTTCCCCAGTATTTTCACTTACAATACAAGCATAAAATAAATGCAGATATTTTATTGTTTTTGTTTCAGCTAAAGCTGATGAAGCATTGAAAGCCAAAGAAAGAAATGAAGAAGAAGCAAAGAGAAGAAAGGAGGAAGGTAAAGGCATGTGTTCCTTTTGTTTCAAAGCAGTCATTTTATAGTGAAGAGCCATTATTTGGCTTGATTCTCTTCTTTACCTGGATAGGCCATTGAATGTAATCAAATGCTTTAGGGGGTACCTCCTGCCACTTCATGAAACCTAAACTATGATACAGTATGACACTATATTCAATGTCTTCAACACTAATTAATGTTTGCTAGTGTAAAATTAGTTTATATGCATCCTTGTATATATTCTGGAGAAACTGGGGAGATATAAAATTATAAAGTAGAGCTGATGTGGTTTCCTTCTGACTTTGATTTTTATAGTTAGCAATTGTCAAAATCAGTCATAGAAGTGGATTGAGCTTTTCTGTACATTTTGAAATACGTTAGCAGTGAAGAAAAGTCCCCTTGCCAACAGAACTTTAAATTAAAGAGCTGTTAAGAGGAAACAATAAAATACTTAATGTCAGAAATAGCCATCATTCAAATTAAATTCATGTCATAGTTTTTATAGATAAAATATTTTCTTTATAGATAAAATATTAACAACATTCAAGCCACCACCCAAAAATATTACAAAGAAATCTGACATGTTTTTATCTCTCCTAACAAATTTTTATTTCCCTTCATCTGCTGTGATTTATATGAGTGAAAATTTTGCATTCTTCCTTCACAGAAGCTTTATATATACACTGCTGTAAGTTACGGTGCTTAAAGCAAGATCCAGGCAAATCTTTTTCAGTGAGTAAAGTTGATGATCCACTTAGACTAGCAATCATGTCACTTTACTGGCTAATTAGCAGAGTAACTATTTCCTCTGTGAGTTTTCAAGAAGTTGAAGCCTGATAATGTGTTCCAAAATACTAGCTTTGAGTGCTATTATCTATATCTGAAAATTGTAAAGCTTACCTTATTACATATTTTTATATGTAATATAATAGATTTGCACTCCCAACTCAATTGGAAACTGAGACCCAATAGAACCTAAAATGTTTGAGTGTGATGATTTAGAATGCTTAAAAGCAATATTCCATTGGAGCTACCAAAACAAAAACAAACAAAAAACCTGTAGGTTTACATGGCAGAACCCTATAAATATGTAGGTTCAAACTAAATGTGGACTGATTTATACATATAGATGTATAGTGTTCTTACCTTACTTCTTCCTTTTAACTTCTGACTTTATGCTCTTATCCCAGATCAACTAATTTTATGGTATATTGAGAAGGCAAGTGATTATCCCTGTCAAGAATCCTCAGTAGAATTTTCCTTTTTTAGCTCTCTGAAGTGCACATTTTGGCATTTTTAGTGGAAGCAGTGGTCACCCATAGTCTAAATAAATATAATACTAGATGCAAAATAGTCTAAGCAAATTATAATTGTTTATACCACTTTGTTATGTGGTATTCTGATCAATGTAACTAATTAATAGCACAACAGCCCTTATAAGACACAGTGGTACTGTAAAGAACAAGTATGGTACTTATAACCAGCCAACACAGTGCATGTAGATTGCAGTAGTTATTAGTCTAATCACATTAATCAAATCTTAATTGGCATCGTAATCACTTGAAAAAGAATGGCACTAATACAGTAACCACAGATATTGAAACTGCTAGTTGATTTATTATTATGAAAAAATGCATAATATGAATGCTTGACCTAGTCAAACTTTTTTTCAATTGAAGTATTGTTGATATCTTATATTTGTTTCAGATTTATAGCACAGTGAGTGGTTCAACAGTTACCTGTATTATTAAATCCTCACCCCAACTCGTGCAGTTACTACTATCAGTCCATGTAGAAAGCTGTTACAGAGTTACTGACTATATTCTCCGTACTGTACAGCTATCCCAATGGCTAACTTAGATTGTGATTAACAATTTTTGTGCTCCTTTATCCCCCTCACCCTCTTCACCTTCCCACCCTAACCCCTCCCCCATGGCAACCACTAGTCCCTCCTCAGTGTCTGTGAGTCTACTCCTGTTTTGTTCATTCTGTTCTGCTTTGTTTTTATATTCCATAAATAAGTGAAATCATATGGCATTTGTCTTTCTCCTCCTGGCTTATTTCACTGAGCATAATACCCTCTAGATCCATCCATGATTTTGCAAATGGCAGGATTTCTTTTCCTTTTATGGATGAATAATATTCCATTGTACATATGCAGCACATCTTCTTTATCCATTCATCTTTTCGTAGACACTTAGGTTGCTTCCATATCTTGGCTGTTGTGAAGAGATAAACATAGGGGTGCATATATCTTTTCAAATCAGGGATCTTGTTTTCTTCAGGTAAATTCCTAGGAGTAGAATTACTGGGTCGAATGGTATTTCTATTTTTAGTTTTTTGAGGAACCTCCATACTGCTTTCTGCAGTGGTTGCACCAATCTGCAGTCCCACCAGTAGTGTAGGAGAGTTCCTATTTCTCCACATCCTTGCCAACACTTGTTATTTCTTTTCTTTTGGATAGTAGCCATTCTAACTGGTGTGATGTGGTATTTCATTATGGTTTTGATTTGCATTTCCCTGATGATTAGTGATGTGGAGCATCTATCTTTTCATGTGCCTGTGGGCCATCTGTATTTCTTCTTTGGGGAAATGTCTGTTCAGGTCCTCCAACCATTTCTCAGAATCCCTGATTTATATGTGACAATTGATACTTCTAGTAGTCTTTGTTTTTTCATTAAATTAAGTTCTAAACATTTCTGAACAGGTATTTTGTTACTTTCATAACTATAGGTACTTGGACATTATATTGTAATTCTTTTGAAATTATTCTTTCATTTAGATTTTCACTTAGTCAAACTGACCTTTTGCTTAGTCTGTGATAATACAGTAACCTTTTCCATTTCAATACCTGAGAATTGTTGGGAAAGCACATCCTTCCAATCATAGCTAATTTAATTAGCGCCTTTGTAAGTCTCTCATTCTAACTAGACTATAAACCCTACAGTTGTAGAAGATTTAGTATCCACAGTGCCTAGTACATAGTACTCAGTTTCTTAATTATGGCATGAATGAATGACCAGTTTACCATTCATTCTTTTAAATCCATGCTTACGTAACTTATCTTGAGTTTGCAGTTGATTCCAAATAATTTTCTTATGTCCTTTTTCTAAGAGGACCTCATCCATCAGGCTGTTTCTCTAAAGAATTAAAACCATTCAGAGATAAAGAAGATGTGGTACATATACACAACGGAGTACTATTCAGCCATAGAAAGAAACAAATCCTACCATTTACAGCAACATGGATGGAACTAGAGGGTATTATGCTCAGTGAAATAAGTCAGGCAGAGAAGACAAATATCAAATGATTTCCCTCATTTGTGGAGTATAATAACGAAGAAAAACTGAAGGAACAAAATAGCAGCAGACTCACAGACCCCAAGAAAGGACTAGCAGAAACCAAAGGAGACAGGTGGGAGAGGGTCAGTAGGGAGGGAGGGAGAAGGGGATTGAGGGGTATTATGATTAGTGCACATGGTGTGTGTGGGATCACAGGGAAGACACTGTAACACATAGAAGACAAGTAGGGACTCTGTGGCATCTTACTGCACTGATGGACAGTGACTGCAGTGGAAGGTATGTGGGGCAACCTGATAATAAGGATGAATATAGTAACCACATTGTTTTTCTTGTGAAACCTTCATAAGAGTGTATATATCAATGATACCTTAATAAAAAGAAAAAGAAAAAAAGAAAAATCAGAGAATTTCGAAATACTATCAACATTTGCTAGTATGGCTTTATCAAGTCTTTACCTAAACTCACTGATTTTTCTCTGCATACAAATACAGCAACATTATTATCACAAATGTTGGAGAAAAATCCTACTGGTAAAATAACCTATATGACACTAATTTCAAAAAGATAAAAGGTGTTTTTCATTCAATTCATGCTTATATTTTGTAAGCAAAAGTAAATTGCTGGGTAGATCCTTTGATGTTGTTTGCTTCAAAATTTCTTTTCTTATGGTTTGTCTACATACTTAAATGCTATCAAATTAGCCTTCCCTGAAAATGGTTAGTGTAAATAATAATTAATAAATAATAAAATGATTAATGCAAATAAAATGACATTTATTTTATTTCATATAATTAGTCTAGCTGCAAATTGAAACTGGAGATACATTTGTATGTGTATAAATTTCACTCCATTGCATCACTTAAACAATTTGTCTCTGAATTACTCAGCAGGCTTATACACAGTGCAGGGTTGAAAGCATTGTTAAAATGTAGATAAATGTTATCTGCCCAGCTCTCTTTGTCCACTTTATGTTATCTCAAAAACTATTGTATTAGCATAGTACAATCGTGCCTTGCAAACAGAATGTGTTTGTAAAACTTTCCTTTGAGTGTTAAGTCAGTATCATAATTACATTTGCAAGTATTGTATAAAGTATTATGAAAAGCCAAACTACTGTCCAGAATTGCCCAGGGTAACTATTTTTGCCTTCCACCCTTTAACAGTAGGAGCCATTTAGAGCACTCTTCATGGTTCTTGTACAGCTTAGTTGATTTTCTGTTTATTGAATATCACTAGTACATTGGTATGGATCCTCTTTCTTTAACCGTTTACTCTCTCTACATTTTAATTGAATTATATAAAGGTTACATTATTAGTAAAAGTCAACTGTGAATATTTAAAGTTTAAGTTTATAGTTTTCTTCTTTAAAAATAATCACTTTTTTCTAATTCTAGACTATATTTTAGGAAAAATGAATAGTATTAAATCTTTCAGCTCTGTTTTCTTTGTGATTATTTGACCTAATAAATGCTTGACTTCAGCTTTCTCTTTTTCTCAGTATGTGTTTGAAATAAATGCTAACTATATTTAAAATCATTTCAACTTTTATCCTTTTGATTTCATTTTATATCACTGATTGCTTTAACAAACTGCTTACGTTTTCTGTATTTTACTTTTATGTTTATTATGGTATTTAAGAGTTCTAATTGTGTTTTAAGTCCTTTAATAAGCATAAAAGTCTTTCTTCACATTTTGACTTTT